AAAGAAAGAAAGAAAGAAAGAAAGAAAGAAAGAAAGAAAGAAAGAAAAAGAATAAAACAAATGAAACTTATATGCCAATTACTCATCTCTCCCAATTGCCATGTATCTTTCTGTGTCTAGTTGAATCCTTTCCTTGTTTTCCTTTGGAGACTAAACAGAGACTGTCAATGCCCAGAACTCTGCTTCCTGTAAGCTACTAGGTGGCATGAAGTTTATCTCTTCTTCCTAATCTGGAGAGGTCTGCTTTTCCTAATAGAAATGTTGGTGCTGGGCACTAGCAGATTTTTTTTTTTTGTTTTTTTTTTTTTGAGACAGAGTCTGACTCTGTCACCCAGGCTGGAGTGCAATGGCATGCTCTCAGCTCACTGCAACCTCCGCCTCTTGGGTTCCAGCGATTCTCCTGCATCAGCCTCCCAAATAGCTGGGACTACAGGCGCATGCCACCACACCCGGCTAATTTTTTTGTGTTTATAATAGAGGCAGGGTTTCACTATGTTGGCCACACTGGTCTCAAACTCCTGACCTTGTGATCTGCCTATCTTGGCCTCCCAAAGTGCCAGGATTACAGGCGTGAGCCACCGCGTACAGCCAAGCAGATTTTTTTTTTGTTTTTCGAAACAAGGTCTTACTAAGTCATCCAGGCTAGAATGCAGTGGTGCAATCATACCTCACTGTAACCTTGAACTCCTTTGCTCAAGCAATCCTTCTGCCTCAGCCTTCTGAGTAGCTACAACTATAGGCACATGCTACTGCGCCTGGGTGCCTGGCTAATTTTTTATTTTTGTAGAGACAGGGTCTCACTCTGTTGCTCAGGCTGGCCTCAAACTCCTGGCTTCAAGCGAACCTACCACCTTGGCCTCTCAAACTGTTGGGATTAGAGGTGTGAGTCACGAATGGGCCTAGATTAGATTCTTAATAACGTCTGTCTGTGAGCCCTTGGGATTTTCTGACTCACAAAAAAAGAGCACCATGGTCCTAGAAAGAAGCTTTCTGTTTATTCCACCAACCTTTCTCTCCCTGGGATTTCCCAGTAGCACTTTTCATGGCTCTTTTACCTTTACTGATCTTTGCATGTCCCTGCCACAATTTCTGAATGCATCTCAATTTATATTTAATTCAAATACTATTTGTATTACTTATCAGAAAGGAGACAAGTTTGCAAAAACGAAGTTACCATAAACCAGCAAATACTGTATCTGTAACTAGATTCATGAGTAATAAGAGGAATAACTTCAATAACCGGAAACGCTGGGTAATATCAAGGCTATAAACTAGGTAAAGGCTAAAGGTAAATATGATTAGCTCCGGGGAGTGCCCTGTCTAAATGACCAAAAAGAGGAATCAGGTAGCAGATACTCACTAAACAATAAAAACCTCAGGGAAGAAAAATTAAAGCTAGACAGAACAAATTAAATAAAATGTACAGTCAGCAGGTATGATTTACATATTAAACAGAAACTTACCTGTTTGATCAAGTTCAAGCACAAAATAAGGAACACACAGAGACTTAAATAACTTCTTTACCTGGAAGAAGTTGAGAAACAAGGAGGAAAATGAAAAATGAGGTTATAACCAACAGGAGAACCTCTTTATCCAGCTTTGTTACTTCCTTTCTCAACCAGCCTTCTCCTTTGAAAGCTTTCCATTTCACTTTTATGTAACCTACAAGATTCTCCCTGTTGACAGTAACGATATTTAAAAGAGTATTTGAAGTCTATTGATTCTAATTCAATTGTCAATGATTCATCTGTATCACTTCATAAGATATATTTTATATGTTTAGTGACTCAGTCTACCTCATTTTATATATATATATATATGTAAATAGTCTTTTTGGTTTTTTCCTTTTTGTAGAGAATGGGGTCTTGCTATATTGCCCAGGCAGGTCTCGAACTCCTGGGCTCAAGCTATCCTCCCACCTCTGCCTCCCTAAAAGCTGGGATTACAGGCGTGAACCACAGCTTCCAGCCTTACACTGATCTTTTTTTTTTTTTTGTCTTCTACCTCATTATAAAATGGATTTAATACGATGTTTTAAAAAGCACTGGAACACTTTTTTTTTTTTTTTTTTTTGATATAGAGTCTCCATCTGTCACCAGGCTGGAGTGCAGTGGCGCTTTCTCAAATCACTGCAACCTCCACCTCCTGGGTTCAAGCTATTCTCCTCCTTCAGCCTCCCGAATAGCTGGGACTACAGGCGTGTGCCACTATGCCCAGCTAATTTTTGTATTTTTAACAGAGACGAGGTTTCACCATGTTGGTCAGGATGGTCTCGATCTCTTGACCTCATGATCCACCCGTCTCGGCCTCCCAAAGTTCTGGGATTAGATGCGTGAGCCACCGCACCCCACTAAGCACTAGAACACTTAAAAAGCATTATGTGGCAAACCTGGGAAAAATATATTCTTACAATAGTCAAAGTATTATTTATTTTTTGGCTGAGTAACCCTCAACCAATAAATCAGTTACTGAAAAAAAAAAAAAGCCTATTATGCTCTGAGACTGTTAAATAAAACAAATAAACAAAAAATCATATGCTCAAGGTTATACAAATTACACTGATAAAAAATAAAATTTTATTTAAAAGTTTACTTATGCGACTAGATAGCATTGAAACTACTGACACAAGAGGCTTTTATGTGTAAGACACAAACAGCCTGTCAATAATTTAGGAAAGTTTAGAATCATATTCCTACAGTTATACAATAAAATTTAAAAGGCCAGAGTAGCCTGAAGTTCACAGAGTTGATCAATGAGGAAAATGTATTCTTCAAAAAAACAAAAAACAAACAAAAACAAGTTGTATTCTTGTCTCAATCTAAACTTAATGACTAAAACAGTAGGCTTCCAGGCTGGGCACAGTGGCTCATGCCTGTAATCCCAGAACTTTGGGAGGCCGAGGTGGGTGGATCACGAGGTCAGGAGTTTGAGACCAGCCTGACCAACATGGTGAAACCTGTCTCTGCTAAAAATACAAAAATTAGCCAGGTGTGGTGGTATGTGCCTGTAATCCCAACTACTTAGAAGACTGAAGCAGGAGAATCACTTGAACCTGGGAGGCAGAGGTTGCAGTAACTGAGATTCTGCCACTGCATTCCAGCCTGGGCTACAGAGCGAGACTGTCTCCAAAAAATAAAAAATAAAAACAAAAACAAAAAACAAAAAACATACACACACAACAACAACAATAACAAAAAAACAGTAGACTTCCTATTGTATAGGAGTATACTGGGAGATTTCTATCATTTCTATAGGACTAAATTCAACATTTCAATAAAATGGGAAAATAAGTTCATTTATACAACCTCAGTAGTCTTAAACTCTTTTAGATGGCACCCAAGCCCCAATCTGAATCTGAATTCAGCCCCTCCCACTCTGAAATAGATATAAGAAACAAATATTGCATTTCTGAAAAGGTGGGGAGGGATTACCTTTGCACTTTAAAACCTACTCGTCACAGCAGGATGCATGTAAAACACTTATCATAACTAATGTGTTATGCAAGAGTGGAAGGCTAATTTTACATAGAAGTTAATTTCCTTATGGGTACTTCCCAACTTGAATTAATGCAAATTACATTACTCATCTCAGAGAGAAATGCACATTAATCAGACCAAGTACAAATATAAAAACAAAGTTTCTCCATTCTGATTTACTCACATCCCAGTTGTTAAATGAGAGATTAAATCAAAACTAAAGCGAATAACCTGGGAAAATTCTACTTCAAGGTAATTTAAATAAATAAATGTGAACAGCTAAGTACATGAGTTGTACACCCACAGAAGAAATCCACTACTTTACCAGGAAAAGCACTTAATCCTGTTTCATGGCCAAAGACATCAAAAATTAATTTCTAAATTAACTGGCATCAATCTGAAAACAGTTTATATATTCAGAAAAGCTAAGGAATTAGTAATCGACAAGGTAAAACCAGAGGATATTTATCTAGAAGACCTGGCATACCCTGGGATTGTTTGGATAATGACATTAAATAAATTTGCCAGATAACTGTACATTTAAATAAGCATGCAAACAACTAACACAAATGTTATAGGAAAAGTTCTTCATTCCCAGGCTAGATTTAATTAAGTAAAGCTGGGGAAAATATAGGTAAGGCTTTACATTTTTGGGGATAGGCAGGAGAGCTGGAGACTGAGGGAGTTAGTAGATTTCAGAGATAACATTAAGAATAAGAACATTCTGGGGCATAATGGGGACTTAAAAAAAGAAAAGAAAAAAAGAAAAATGACAGGTCAAAGAGATCTGGGATTGCAAGGAGCACACTGAGAATCTATTTATCTATCACCAGTAGCAATCCTGACTGCTAGCCCAACTCTTCATTCCAGAACTAAGGCAGGGTTAAAAATCAGAATTTTCTGTTTATTTACTTATTTTATTTTTAAATTTTTATTATTATTATCAGTTTGAGATAGAGTCTCACTCTGTCGCCCAGGCTGTAGTTCAGTGGCACAATGTTGGCTCACTGCCACCTGTGCTTCTTGAATTTTAAGTGATTCTCATGCCCCTGCCTCTTGAGTAGCTGGGATTACAAGCATGTACCACCATGTCTAGCTAATTTTTATAGTTTTAGAAGAGAGGTGGTTTCACCATGTTGGCCAGCCTGGTCTTGAACTTCTGGCCTCAAGTGATCTGCCTGCCTCAGTCTTCCAAAGTGTTGGAATTACAGGTATGAGCCACTGTGCCCATATTTATTTATTTTTAGAGACAGGGTCTCACTCTGTTACTCAGGCTGGAGTGCAGTGGCACAGTCATAGCTCATGTAACCTTGAACTCCTGGGCTCAAGTGATCCTCCCACCTCAGCCTCCTGAGAAGCTAGGACTACAGGCACATGCAAACCATGCCAAAATATATATATATATATATATATATATATATATATATATATATATATAAATTTTTTTTTTCATGGAGGTTGAGTCTTGTTATGTTGCCCAGACTGATCTTGAACTCCTGGCTTCAAGTGAACCTCTTGGCTTGGCCTCCCAAACCATTGGGAGTGCAGGCATAAGCCACTGTGCCCAGCTCCCAATTCTTTAATAATGTTTGAAAATATAGGTAGAATGACCGAATGCCTGGCACATAGTTGGCACTCAAATGGTAGCTATTAAGCCACTGATAGGATTAATTGTACTTAGCATTAAGTCAGGTATTCGTTGATTGCCATCTAATCTTGCCTCAGTACTGACAGGCGAGAAGATTAACCACCCAAGTTTTTATGTCCTGACAGAAAAGGAAAAAATGCAAGTAGTTCTTTTATTTAACAAACACTGATGTAATGTTTACTATGTGTCAGGTATGTTCTAAGGCATTCATAAATATTAATTTAATCCTCATAACAAACTTATGTTATAGGTACTATTATTATTCACATTTTACAGATGGGGAAACTGTGGCACCACAGGTAAATAACTAAAGTCATGTGGTTGAGAAATCAGAGAACCAAGATCCACGCTCTGACTTTAGAGTCCAGTCTCTTAACCATTGTTCGGTAACAAAAGAGACTAGACAAGCACATAATTTCAGAACTAAAAAAACCCTCAGTAAGCAAGCCCTTCATTTTAAAGATTAAACAAAAAGGAATTTTGGTGGGGGTAGGTCCCCAAAGCAGGTAAGATCACTAGAGCTAGATAATGAAGCCCCTAGAAGCCAAGAATTACATAGCAGATTTCTAATACCAAGCCCTCTTCTAAATTCTCTAACATTTACTGCCTGTCCAATCATGTAGATTTTAGCATGGACTAGCTGAGATCATTTTTCTTCTTAGGACTATGTTCTGCCCTCTCAGTTGAGCTAAACCCCCAGGGATAGGACTTGTGTCTTCTACCTCTTTGCAATCCTACTCCCACTGTCCTACATGAAAGACATCACTATCACATTGATTGGGATGAAGCGAAAGGTGGCATTGATGCAGACTGTGTTCAGGAGAGAGACAAGGATGAAAGGGTCTCCCTACTTCAGTGTTTTTGCTGCCCACCTTCCTTTTTCTTCATTTAGAAAAAAAGTGCACATGTGCACAGGTGCACACACACACACACACACACACACACACACACACAGAGTGAGGGAGAGAAAGAGAGAGAGAGTCCAAAAAGCCCATAAGCCCATTTCTACTTAAGGTTTCCAGAATAAAAAGGCTTCTGAATTCAGTCTCGAGATCTGGAAAGTAAGTCACGGGGCAGACAAATTGAGAGAAAATTAAACTTAATAATAAATTAACCTTCAGGTGAACCTGGACAGATGGCCAGTTATGTTTACTTAAGACTCCACTGTGTAGGCCTAGAGCTACACTGAGTATAATTTAGAGCTAAACTTCAGTGACATTTAAATGCCCTCAACCTTCCTCTGAAGCACCAGCCAGATCAGGTTTGCCTTTCAATTCTCACCCTCATTCTGTGATTAATTCATGGTGGACTAAACCAATCCTCCCCATGGCTGTGACCACTGACCTTTTCTTTCTGATAATCTAACATTGAGAACCAAGTAGGAAACACAGTTTATTCTTTGTGAAGTCATTTTCCCCATAATAAACCAAAGGATGAAGAGACATCTATCAAAATTTGGTAGTACCCTAAGCAACCATTTCTTATGAAATATTCCCTACAGACATATCTGAAAGAGCAGCAAATCAACCAGTTTGGTAACTCCCCCACCCTAACCTTCCCTAACTTTGACTACCTGAAAACATCTTATACTTGGCAAAAGCTCAGAAAAAGATTATTCAGGCAATATTTTCTTCTTAAGTCCACGTTTTACCATTACTCTGAAGCAAGTTACAACTACATACACTCTTCCTAAAGGTGAAATCCAGTTGTTTACATTTGAGCTCAACAGTCTGTCAAATTCCTATAATTCCATTTAAACCCCTTGAACTTAGAGCCTTACCTCAGTACAGCGTGTGCATGTGGACCTACTGAAGATGACCACAGAGTGACTGTCTATATAGGCCTGTAGCAGGGCTCTGGGATCTGCAGTGGCCGTGCTGGTGAATGCTGCGGGGTTCTCTGGCAAAGTTTTACTAGGGTGATGATCTTTAGCTAGAAGTAATGGAAGTAAGGATTGTAAATATCAGAAAGGAAAACATGATGACGCATTTTCTAATATTAGGTTCACTCTAAAAGCCTTACCATTTTAGTCCCACAGGCCAAAATAAGGAATGAGGAAGGAAGGACTCTAATGAAGAGTAGAGTTTTAGGTCTTTGATCTGACTGGAAACATCTGGCAAATTATTCAATATTCCTGACCTCAGCTCACACTCAAGATATGTTCTCAGGGGATCCTGACAAGTAACAAGCCATAATCGGAACATTCCCTGGATGCAGGAGAATAAGTAACAGGTACAAAATACTGAGGCCGCATTTTATGCCATCTTTACTCCCAACCATGGTTTCAATGCAGAGAAGCCAAATGTCAGACAGACATCCCCTTCTCACACAACGCTGCTTACAGACATAGGGGCAGACCACTCAAACCAAGGCTTACACATTTTCTCCCAGGCTAACTCGTGGATAAGCAGACACAGGATCTTCAGGCCAGATGCAGCAAGATTGCGGTAAAAAAATACTTTCTGCAGCCGGGCGCGGTGGCTCAAGCCTGTAATACCAGCACTTTGGGAGGCCGAGGTGGGTGGATCACGAGGTCAAGAGATCGAGACCATCCTGGTCAACATGGTGAAACCCTGTCTCTACTAAAAATACAAAAAAATTAGCTGGGCATGGTGGCGCGTGCCTGTAATCCCAGCTACTCAGGATGCTGAGGCAGGAGAATTGCCTGAACCCAGGAGGCGGAGGTTGCGGTGAGCCGAGATCGTGCCATTGCACTCCAGCCTGGGTAACATGAGTGAAACTCCATCTCAAAAAAAAAAAAAAAAAAAAATACTTTCTGCAGATTCTCTATTTTCTCCCCAGGATTTTGTGCTGGCCCAATCAGGTATCAAAACAAACACAATCCAGCTTAGTGGTATGTTATCCCCACATGACAGCACTGTCATCCTGGGTGTCATCACCAGTCAAAACCACCAAGAGAGCGCTATCTCCAGCTTGTAAAAATGGTTAAACTAGCCATCTTCTCCAGGGCCCACAAATAAACCAAGCTCAGGTCCACCCTTACTACTTGTTCCTTAGGTGATTTCTTCTCATTTCTGCTGATCCAAATAAGCCATTCATCCTTCTTTAATCTCCTTATCATCTTCATAGCTGATATTTGTATTTATCCAGAACTAGACAGAGGGTGAATGTTTGTATGCCTCCTTTCATTTAATCCTTACAGCAATATCGTTAGGTGGGTACTACTACTATCATCCCCATTTTACAAACAAGGAAACAGACTCAGACTTTGTCTCAAAAAAAAAAAAAATTGACCATAAATGTAAAAGTAGAGCCCATAACCAGTGTGTTATACTATCACTACACGTGGACAGATTTTTTTTTTTTGAGACGGAGTCTTGCTCTGTCACCCAGGCTAGAGTGCAGTGGCGTGATCTCGGCTCACTGCAACTTCCGCATCCCAGGCTCAAGTGATTCTCCTCCTCAGCCTCCTGAGTAGCTGGGATTACAGGCACCCACCACCGCATGCGGCTAATTTTTGTATTTTCAGTAGAGATGGGGTTTTACCATTTTAGCCAGGCTGGTCTTAAACTCCCGACCTCATGATCCACCCACCTCAGCCTCCCGAAGTGCTCAGATTACAGGCGTGAGCCACCACCCTCAGCCTAGACTGATACTTATTTATTTAGAGGTGGAGTCTCGCTCTGTCACCCAGGCTAGAGTGCAGTGATGCAATCTACGTTCATTGCAACCTCTGCCTCTTGGGTTCAAGGGATTCTCCTTTCTCAGCCTCCCAAGTAGTTGGGACTACAGGTGTGTGCCACCACACCCAGCTAATTTTTTGCATTTTTAGTAGAGAAAAGGTTTTACCATGTTGGCCAGGATGGTCTTGATTTCTTGACCTCGTGATCCACCCACCTCAGCCTCCCAAAGTGCTGGGATTATAGGCATGAGCCACCATACTCAGCCCTAGACTGATATTTAAATGGTATTTAATAAAATGTATTATTATTTTAATATTAATGTTAAATTAACATTAATAAATAATTTTTATATTTAATAAAATCAGCTAAACCCCCAAAATGTTAATAATCATTATCTCTAGTAAGCTGGACTTTCACTTTCATCATACTTTTTATACTATGTGTTTTTAAAAAGGTAGTTAATTTTTAAAAATTTTAGGCCAGGCGCAGTGGCTCATGCCTGTAATTCCACACTTTGGGAGGCCAAGGTAGGTGGATTACCTGAGGTCAGAAGTTCAAGACCAGCCTGGCCAACATGGAGAAACCCGGTCTCTAAAACTACAAAATTAGCTGGGTGTGGTGGCACAAGCCTGTAATCCCAGCTATTTGGGAGGCTGAGGCAGGAGAATTGCTTAAACAGAGGTTGCAGTGAGCCGAGATCGTGCCATTGCACTCCAGCCTGGGCAACAAGAGCAAAACTCCATTTCAAAAAAAAATTAAATTTAATTTAAATAACCCCTATCATACAATGTCAAGATAGGGTCAACAATCAAAAGACTGTTTTATTATATACCAGACAATCAAATGTTACTAATACTTAAAATATAGATAGAAAAGTGAAAAGGAACGTAGTAATCTCCTTATCTTTGAGATATAAGTGCTATGATCTGAATGCTTCTATACCTCCAAAATTTCTGTGTCAAAATCTTAACTCTCAAAGTGACCACATTAGAAGGAGGGAACTTTGGGAGGTGATTAGGAGCCCTCAGGAATGGGATTAGCACAGTTATGAAAGAAACTCCAGAGAGCCCATTTCCCCTTCCACCTTGTGAGGACACAGCAAGTCGGTACCTACTGAGTATCAGGAAGTGGGCCCTCACCAGACATGGAATCTACTGGCACCTTGATCTTGGACTTCGCAGGCCACAGAACTGTGAGAAATCGTTTTCTCTTGTTGATAAGCCACCTAGTTTATGTTATTTTGTTATACCAGCCTGAACAGATAGGAAAACGAGAAGTGGGTTCTTCTTAAAGAAAAACTAGCTTGTTGTAATATCTCTGGGCTGGGTGCACGCGGTGGCTCATGACTGCAATCCTAGCACTTTGGGAAGCTGAGGTGGGTGGATCATGAGGTCAGGTGTTCAAGACCAGCCTGGCCAATATAGTGAAACCCTGTCTCTACTAAAAATACAAAAAATTAGCCAGGCATGGTGGTGCATGCCTGTAATACCAGCTACTTGGGAAGCTAAGGCAAGAGAATTGTTTCAACCCAGGAGGTAAGATCACACCACTGCACTCCAGCCTGGGCTACAGTTCGAGTTCCGTCTCAAAAAAAAAAAAAGAAAAGAAAAGAGAAAAACTAAAATCTGTGCCAATTAATTATAGGATCCCAAAAGAACAATGGGACTTATTTGTTGCGGAGTATACCAGATCAGTCTATACCTACAGTATCTGCTTTCCATAAGTGGAAGAGAGGCCTCTCAACCGCTATTTGCATCTGAATAACCAAGACTTACTAGGTCTTATCCTTATCCTTATCCTTATCCTTAACCTACTGAATCAGATTTGCAAGGCATGGGCCCAAGCAAGCATATTTGTGTGTGTGGCTAGCTGCCATGGCGCATGCCTGTAATTCCAGCACTTTGGGAGGCCAAGGCGGGTGGATCACATGAGGTCAGGAGTTTGAGACAAGCCTGACCAACATGGTGAAAACCCATCTCTACTTAAAATACTAAAATTAGCTGGGCATTGTCCTAGCTACTTGGGAGGCTGAGGCAGAAGAATCACTTGAATCCAGGAGGTAGAGGTTGTAGTGAGCTGAGATCATGCCACTGCACTCCAGTCTGGGCAACAGAGTGAGACTCTGTCTCCGAAAAATAAACATATTTGTGTGTGTCAATATGTATATATGTTCACACACATCTATGCATATATTTTAGGTGTTCCCTGGTAGTTCTAATGCATACTCTTAATTAAGAACTACTGGACTAAAGCAACATGACACATCACTATAACCTCATCAATGACACTTCAAATTTTTAAAATTAAACTCTAGTTCTCATTTTCTTTTCTCCATTTTTCTTATTTTAAAAGCAATGTAGAAGTAAACATTCCTTGTGGTAACATCTCAGAGAATGAGAATCACAGAATGTTAGCTTGGGAGACACATTTGGGGTCACTAGGCCAACTGTGTTCATTCTACTGATGAGGAAACTGAGGTCCAGGCAGGTAATTAATTGGCATCAGCGTCAGAGCTGTCACACAAGCCTACTGATTCCATAACGCCTTACTGACTCCTTTGATTTCATGGCATGACTGTCTCTAAAAGCAGGTGATAATTCCTTACATAACATCTATGCCAAGGGCACCACCCAACTATTAGGCTCAGATGTTTGCCAAGACACAGAACACAGAAGGCCATCACAAGGAAAGGAATAACTTCAGTGATTAAGAAGAACTGCAGTCTTACTGGGGAAGAGACTCTTTACCAAAAATAAAATGCCCAAATAGATGGAAAGATAAATAAAATAAATCATAAGAGGTTAGCCATTACCTGTAATCAAAATCACCAGAATTTTTCCTTAAATCCTATCTCTAACAAAAAAAGGCAAATAAAATTTTGTTTATGTTTATTGTTTGCTAATAATTTACCCCCTCAATTTTGAAACAAAATTTGAAGCAGCATTCAAAGAAATACGTTAAGTAAATGTTGCAAAAACAGCACAGAACCAGGTAGTCAGAAAAACACAGATAAAACTGTAATTATAAGTTGCTTCCATTTTGCCCCAATTTTTTTTGCCTAAGATCAATTCCTAATATTTGGATCCATGAAGTACTTACTGTCCACTTGTAAAAACTAAAACTAAAGTGTAATAATAAAATGGGCTCCCTACTTGTATTTGTAAAAGTAAACAGAGGTCAATAAAAGACATTAGATAGCCCAAAAAGAGACAAATATAGAATCATTTATGATTTTTAAAAAGCCATCACGTGACCAAGCGTGGTGGCTCACACCTGTAATCCCAGCACATTGGGAGGCCAAGGTCGACGGTCAGGAGATTGAGACCATCCTGGCCAACATGGTGAAACCCCATCTCTACTAAAAATACAAAAATTAGCTGGGTATGGTGGCACACACTTGTAACCCCAGCTACTTGGGCTGAGGCAGGAGAATGGCTTGAACCTAAGAGGCAGAAGTTGCAGTAAGCCGAGATCATACCACTGCACTGCAGCCTGGAGACAGAGTGAGCCTCCCTCTCAAAAAACAAAAAAGCCATCACAAAGCAATAAAATGTACTTTCAAAATAGTGTGGTAATGATGACTTGATAATTTGGGGAAAAGTTTTTTCACTTTATTATTATATGACACAGCATATTAAGTGGAATCTTTTCTATATTTCTAGTGAGGTAATAACTTACCAAACTTAGAAGTAAATACAATAATAATAATAGTTTTTTGGGTTTTTTTCCCCCCAAAATCAATAGGTCTTTTATTGTATCATTTAAGTATCACAAGTAGGTCTTAGGAATCATCCAGCATCTTGTTTCTATAGCTGGACAACTCTTAGATCTTATTCATCAGCCTGCTGAATAGTTTCTTTTTCTTTCTTTCTTTCTTTTTTTTTTTTTTTTTTTTTTTTGAGACGGAGTCTCATTCTGTCGCCCAGGCTAGAGTGCAATGGCGCAGTCTCAGCTCATTGCAACCTCCGCTTCCTGGGTTCAAGCAATTCTCCTGCCCCAACCTCCTGAGTAGCTGGGATTACAGGGGCCGCCACCATGCCTGGCTAATTTTTGTATTTTTTAGTAGAGACGGGGTTTCACCATTTTAGTCAGTCTGTTCTCAAACTCCAGTCCTCAGGCGATCCTCCTGCCTCAGCCTCCCAAAGTGCTGGAATTATAGGTGTGAGCCACCGCATCTGGCCTAGTTCCTTTTGCAGAGACATAGATACCATCCGAACATTTCCTGATAACCTTGTTTTTAACTGTTGTGGCTTGCTGAATCAAAGCCACTGAATATGAAACAAGATGAATGTCATTTCTTTCAAGGATCAATTCCGCTTTCTGGGCTTGAGATCTGAACAAGCAACACCTGGCCTCATCTAAACCCTGTGGATGTATTTTTCACCCAAGAAATTTCAGATTTCAACAAGAGATCCATTCTCCTAGATAAGGACATTGATGGGGAAGTGAACATACACAGACCTCATCTTGTAATGGAAGCCCAGTGTAACACCCTTGTAACATCCTTCTGTGCATGACTACAAATAGTCCGAATGGTAGCCAGCTCCTTTCTGTTACCCTGCCATTTGTCAACCTGGAGCCTCTTTTTTTTCTTTCCAAGATTGAGTTTTTTCTACATGGATGTGGTTGAAGTCTCTCCATAGGGTTCCTCTGGGGCCCTTCACAATAACTGTGTGTCCCTTCAGAGTAATGTCAACATTTTCTGGAATATCAACAGTGTGATTGCTGAGAATGATCTTCATTCTTACAATAGATGCAGCAAAGAAAGATAATAATAGTTTTGTGTAAGGTAAAAGAGCAGCATCAGTAAAATACTTACAGGGAAAAAAAACAATAAAACAACAAAAAGAACTCCAGCAAATCAGTAAGAAAACAACAGGACCACAAATGATAAAATGAATAAAAAACAAAAACAGGCTGGGTGCGTGATTCACGCCTGTAATCCCAGCACTTTGGGAGGCCAAGACGGGTGGATCATGAGGTCAGGAGTTTGAGACCAGCCTGGCCAACATAGTGAAACATCATCTTTACTAAAAATACATAAAAATTAGCAAGGTGTGGTGATGCATGCCCATAATCCCAGCTACTTGGGAGGCTGAGGCAGCAGAATTGCTTGAACCCAGGAGGCAGAAGTTGCAATGAGCCAAGATAGTGCCATTGCACTCCAGCCCAGGCAATAGTGTGAGATCTCCAGCTCAAAAAAAAAAAAAAAAAAAAAAAAGAACAAAAACAGCCAACTCATAGAAAGAAAATAGGCAAAGGAAATAGAATAAAATTTCTGTTTATTTTAATTTCATAAAGAGAAATGCAGATTCAAGTGACTGAATATCATTTCTTACATAGAAAAAAATGAAAACTCCCAGTGCTGATAAATGTACACTGAAGTGAGTCCATGGATATAGGGTGTGTAACACAAGCTAATACTATTCTTTTGGAAGACAATTTGACAGGGTCAAAAACCACTGAAAAGGCCATACTATTTTTTTTTTTGAGACAGGGTCTCACTCTATCATCCAGGCTGGAGTGCAGTGGCTGAATCTTGACTCACTGCAACCTCCTGAGATGCCATATCTTTTAATTCAGTATTCTTATTTTTGATGATCTACCTTTTAAAATAAAAATCTAAAATAATGAAAACATTTACTCATAAGAAAAACCCCTACCTCCTAGCCATTTCTTAGAAAAAGCTTTCAGTAGTTTTTATTAACATAGCTGCTATCACCTAAAGGGGAATATTCCCTTTTAATAAAAGTTCTATAGTTTTAGAACCAATCATGTTACCTTCCTGTAAAACATAATTGAACAAAACAGGCCACTGACCTACCAATACTCACCATTCCCTTCTCCCAAACATGTCCTTTACCTTTCTAGATACAGGGACAAAGTTATACATTGCCAAAGCTTTCTCTCTCCCAAGGCTAAGCCGCAAAGATATTCTATCCCTGCTCTACAACCTACACCCCTTTCTCTTCCCTATCTTCAATCCCTTCTTTTTATCTAATTAATACCAACAATTTCATTATAATATCATTAGCTATTGCAAAAAATTAGAAAAAATAAATATCTGACATTAGAGGAATGGCTAAATTACAGTAGCTCTCTTGTTCTAAGCTTATTTAATGGATGCATACTATTCAATATTCAAAATAATGTGGAAATAGTTTGACACAATGTTAATTTTTTTGTTTGTTTGTTTTTGGTTTTTTTTTGTTTTTTTTTTTTTGAGACGGAGTTTCGCTCTTGTTACCCAGGCTGGAGTGCAATGGCGCAATCTCGGCTCACCGCAACCTCCGCCTCCTGGGTTCAGGCAATTCTCCTGCCTCAGCCTCCTGAGTAGCTGGGATTACAGGCACACACCACCATGCCCAGCTAATTTTTTGTATTTTTAGTAGAGACGGGGTTTCACCATGTTGACCAGGATGGTCTCGATCTCTTGACCTCGTGATCCACCCGCCTCGGCCTCCCAAAGTGCTGGGATTACAGGCTTGAGCCACCGCGCCCGGCCCCACAATGTTAATTTTTAAAAAAACCTAGAATACCAAATCCTATGTATGATAGTTTTACAATTATGTGAAACTCAACATATAGGAATCCTGAAAAGGAATGTGCAAAATGGCCATATTAGTTACGTTGGTGTGACAGAATTATCCATGACATTTTCCTTCTTGTATTTCCCAAACTCAAAAAGAAAAGTTGCATACCAGCCTATCACATTTGTTCTTGTCTCTCTGACTTCACCAAACAGAGAAATTCAATCAAATCTTTGTATTCTTGGGGAGATAAAGCAAGATATTTGAACTGTGGGATTACCGAAGGAAAACATTTCCATCCAGGACACTCCACCTCAAGAAAGAGGTTCCCATCTACGTACTATTAATATGTGCTTGTACCTGCCAAAACTACTGCCTCTCCATGACTACCACCACCTGAAAGTCTGCAGAGAGCCAGGTTTTGGGTGGCTCTCAGTCTACACATTGTTTAGAGAACTACAGAACTGATGCGTATCTCTTCGGAGAAACCTTGATCAGCCACTTAGCTGTGGGAAGAAGCTCTAGTTTGACAACATGGGAACATCACAGTACATAAGGAATACAAAGTAACTGGGGGCAACTGGAAAACAGGCAGTATGAAATATGGAAAGTACAGGTCAATAAAGTCACCCTCCGCTTTTGAATTATCCCCAAGTGGCATTTCACGGTAAACCAGGACAACAAATGAACTTCCAAGCAGAGAAACAAGGGGGAGGCCAGGCACAGTGGCTCATGCATGTAATCCCAGCACTTTGGGAGGCCGAGGTAGGTGGATCACCTGAGGTCAGGAGTTCGAGACCAGCCTGGCCAACATGGCGAAACCCTATCTCAAAAAAAAAAAAGAAAGAAAGAAAGAAAGAAAAAGAAACAAGGGAGAAAGCAAAGAGGAGCCTGGCAGATGAAAGCACATGGCAAGGCTGAACACAGACTAAAACTGCCACGTGTTAGGACTTGAGTTTTCGCCATTAGTAAGCAACATGATCGCTTCAAGTGTGATGATAAAAATTTTACAGCACCTCACTCTGCCTGCTGTCATCACTTTTTGGTTTATAGGTTTGTCACACACATATTTTTACTGGCTGCCTGTGGTTAAAAGTAGCTGAAGTGCAAGTCAGAAGAAATCAGATCCCCAGGCCTCTTAACAAAACTTATTCAGTTCAAGTGCAAAGACTTTTGCAAACATGCCACTACTCTCAGAAGATTCCTTTTAACAAAGTAATAATTATTAAAATCGTTTATTCAACCCACAAGACACACAAATATTATTCTTGGGTCTGAAAAGAACCCATCAAGTAAAGAAGTTACTCCACAAAATATGTAAGAGTCAGGAAGCTTAAATGCCCATTACACTGTCTATAAATCAAGTGAACACAAGAAGATACTTACATGTGTTTCTGAAAGTCTGTAGGGTAAGAAACAAGCTAGAAAAATAAAACAGAAGCCTTTGTGGAAACACAAAGAAGGAAGATGAAAGACTCCTTAAAAGGACATGATAATGAATTTCTCATGCTGAAATTAATAATAAGTACATCTTAGTTATTAGTATTGTTTATTTACCAGACTGAAATAAACCCCAAGAAAGGTTTTTTTAGCCTTAAAAGATTTTTTAGTTTTTACAAGGAAACTGCCATATGAAGGACTTAAGTGCTATAAAAAGGACTACAGGCCGGGCACAGTGGCTCACCCCTATAATCCCAGCACATTGGGAGGCAGAGGCAGGTGGATCATGAGGTCAGGAGTTCAAGACGAGCCTGGTCAAAATGGTGAAACCCTGCCTCTACTGAAAATACAAAAAGTAGCTGGGCGCAGTGGCAGGTGCCTATAATCCCAGCTACTCCGGAGGCTGAGGCAGGAGAATCACTTAAGCCGGGAGGCTGAGGTTGCAATGAGCCGAGATCATGCCACTGCACTCCAGCCTGGGCAACAGAGTAAGACTTCATCTCAAAAAAAAAAAAAAAAAAAGGACTATAATATCCTGGTTATAGCTCTTGTGCTTGCACCTCCTTCAAAGGAGTCTTACTTGAAGCCTAAGATTAAACCTTAGTTATGTTGGGATCTTAACCAAGAATTCCCATTTGCCTCACTCCACAGTTGTATTCTAACATGATTATATGCCACGTCCAGCACTCAGTGGCTGTGTGAGCCTGAGAATACACATTTGAAAGGAACTCTCTCTTCCACAGAGGACCGGTTTATGGAATGGTTCATGATAAGAGGAACTACACCAGAAGTCCAAGTATGCTGCCACCGGAACTAGACTCTGTGTGTGAGGTGGGAGCGGCTGGGGGTTGGGCCTGGTTTACTGGATCACTCAGCCCCAGGGGTCTCCTGACAGGGTTGGGCTCTACCACAGGGAATGTGG